TGCTCTTTAGAAGGCCAGATACTGAAGATGAAACTCAAATACTTTGGCCACCTAATGAGAAGGAAGGACTCCCTGGAGAAGAGCCTAATTCTGGGAACAATGGAGGGCAAAAGAAGAAGGGGATGGCAGAGGATGAGGTGGCTAGATGGAGTCACTGAAGCAGTTGGTGTGAGCTTAAGTGGACTCTGGGGGATGGTGGAGGACAGGAAGGCCTGGAGGAATGTTGTCCATGGGGTCGCGATGGGTCGGACACGACTTCGTGACTAACAACAACAACAATACTGAAGCCCTAACAGGAGAATGGCAATGGAGGAAAGAGAGTGGTGCCAGCCAAACTGGGACTCTGGTCAAGCTGGATTTGGCCACAGAACTGAGGTTCTGCACTTGTACTGCAGATTGGGACAACTGTACTCCTATCCAGCTTGCTCTGTGTCCTTGTCCACTGTCTTTTTGTATTCTGGATCTCTCATACCACATTCAAAGTATCAGTATGGCACTGATTAGAATCCTCACCTTACCTGTAAGTTTGTGTTGCAGGGCGGGGAAAATGTAATTTGATCACAGTTTAGTTATCCTTGTTAACCATAATTAAGCTCAGGAGAAGAGTGGTGATGGCAGAATTTGGGTAACCTCTATTTCATTATTTTGAGTATGTGCTGAAAGTTCCTAGATTTTGTCTTTACTGTCTCATATATTGCAAGACCTCCTTTGTAACTTAACAGTGATAGAGGAGTAACTTCAGCAGTTACTAGCTAAGTCAGGTCAGGGGCAGTAGCCCTGGCAGGGGCTGCAACCAAACGCAAAAGACAGAGATTTGCCAGGTTCAGCCCCAAGACCTCTGCTGTATGGCAGGGTGACAGGGAAAGCATACATTGGCTCTATTATGTATTCCCAAGTTCAAAAAACCCTAATGGGGAGGATCCCCAATGAGGACTGAGCATGCCCAGTGGCAATGAAATGCTAGCTGACTGCTGGGATGGGGCATAGGAAGAAGGGAAGGAAGATGGCATGAAGTAGCCATGGTTGCCTGATGGGACTCCTGGACAGGAGCGTTCAATGTTTTTGGTACAGGTCTAGTGTTGCCACTCATGAATTACTAAAACAGAGGACATGCATTACAAAAAGGTCAAAAGGGGACACTGATTTGCATGTGCTAATTTATAGTATAGAAGAAAATGTATAATTATTATAATTTAAACAGAATTATGGTAAGTCACCATTCTACAGATGATGAGTTGGTGATCCATGTGCCTCCTTTTCAGTCTGCTTATAATTCAATATCTTATTTAAACTGGAACTGGACTGGAGAGCCCTCCAAACAGAAGACAGTCTTCTATGGAAGAAGATATCTGACTAGACAGTGACCAGGTGACCTGAGTGCTCACCAATTTGGCATGCTGCCCACGTGCTGTTGATGGGCAACTGTTCTTATGGTTCATTATCTTTAAACTGGAGTTAGAACAGCCCTTCAAATAGAGGATGCCTTCAAATTGAGGATGGTCTTCTGGTAGCTCTTTAAATAGGGAACTCTCCTCTGTGAAAGAGGCTCCATGGCTACCATATTTAGTCCTGCTTGTATCACTGAATTTAAGAGTTTATAGTAATCTGCCATCTATAGATTCTGCTGCCTGATCCATATACACTCACACTGGTACTACCAGTACTGCCTATTTTGATTAGTAGCCATAATTCTCCGGGGCCTTGGACAGAGAGGCCTTACCCAAGCCCTATTCTTAGACCTTATTTTATGACTGAAAATGGCAGAGTTTGAATTTGTAATTGAAATTAATTCATTCTACCATGTGCAAAAAAGAAGACTAAAGAAAGAGAGGGAAACATTTTTACTTTGAAAGAACTGACATTTTCCATGGTAACATGAACAGTCCTGTTCCACTCCCCCCACGCCCCTTTAATATTCAGTTGGCCAATACACAATAATCCTATATGGATCCCATTATAACATAGCATCAGTTTAATATTCATGTGCAATAAAACCTTAGTCATAATTGAATTCACACTTTTCTCATAAAGCTGTTGGAATGTAACTAATCTGACTATAGTTATGATCTTTAAAATCCGAATGGTGCTTTTTGCTGAAGAGTTGCTAAAGGCCCTCATTATTCCATGGACTTTAATATGCCAAATACAGTTAAGGGACATGATTTCATCTCCCATGGATGAGTTCCCAACCATTGCACTGGAGTACCAGAGATGTGTACAAATTGGATGCCTTAAAAATAAACAGAAGAGAGTGTGGCTGTGATTCCTTTGTTCAACTCCACCAGGAAGATGAAGAAAAATTATTCCTAAATCAAAGGAACAAGGTTCCCATTATAAACAAACACATTAGAAAAACAAGGTTATAATGCCATCTGGGGGTGCACAGGAATATCACAGCTACTCTGCTTTGGCATTATTTGCTTTGAACCCAGATCCAAAAGCCTTTCAGACTGCCACAAGTATACTGCTCTAAACTGCACAAATCACACAGTATATGAATATATGAAGATATTCATATTATTAATCAAAGTTTTATGAATAATGTGGTGAGAAAACAAAGACAGAGACAGTAGACCTTTTAAATATTTCACTGTTGGCTCTGGTTGATGCCAATAAGCCATTAGCTAAAAAGCATGCGCTGGAATGAGGCAATGGATAATATATGGTATTTTTCTGTCATCACGAAAATACTTGTTAGAACTACTCTAATTATGAATGAAAAGCTATTAGAGATACTGTGGAAGAGATCAGTTGAATTTTTTACTATAGCATGTCTCCTGGCTCCCATTAAGCAATCTACAACTTCTCCCTAGAATACAAAAACAGTGACACAAAAAAGGGCTCAATTAAATCACTAAGACGTATACGAGCAAAATCGCCTTTTAGCTAATTTGCATTAAGAGCTCTCCTATAAATAGCAATTTTCTTTAAACCCAGGGGATGGAAGAAAAGCTTTGCTTGAAAGCCACCTTTCATTTCTTTTTTTTTACTGTGGCAACAGTCTTTACCACTTGGTATCTAAGTATAAGCTTGAGAGTCCAAATTTTTAATATTTAAAAACTTTTGGGGGTGCTCTGAGCAAATACCAAATTAGAAGCTAAAACTCTGAAGTGGGCATCCACAGTTCTCCAATCTGTAAATGTACACACATCAGTAGAAAATGCCAGTGCACTAGGTTCCATTCCTCCATATAAATGCCAATCAACAGAATATTACTCAAGGCATTTGGGGAGCAGCTATACTATATATAATTACCAGAAGCAGATCTATGGCTAGGACATAATATTTTGGGCACAATTTTATGCATGTTTAAACAGAAAAGTTATAACTCCCAGCATGGCTTGCTGTAGATTGCACCGTAAGATTCTGCTGTTATTTTTGCTAGGAAATATGGTTATGGTAAGTTTATTAACAACCTGCTCTAATTTGAAATCCTGTGTTGGACTCAAAATATGCAGAGAATGCATCTCTTGTATCCAAGAGTTTTTATCTGTGAAAACCCTTTTTTCCTTGAATAGGTACAAAATCTTATGTTAAAAAAATGTAAGGGCAAAATGTCCCAAGCATGCCTATACTGGATTGTCTTTTCTTTGAAAAGGGAATATCCAGGGAATATTTTAGGAAGCATTCCATCTGCCCACCTGTATAAAGAAGCAGACGCAGCCTGGATAGCTTCCAGTCATTTGAGATCTAGCCTGGCTTTTCAGACTAGCGGCTAGGGCAGGGGATGCAAAACATCCATACTAAAATCACTCTGGAAAAGAACAGCATCCACCTCCATTTATCTTTTATCCAATGAAAGGTCTTCATGTGGCAGTGCGGCATACAATAAACTTGCTTTGAGAATACGTGCCTTCAAAGTACACTATATGCAGTTACCTCTTTCATTTGTCTCAGGGTGCATTGAGAATTTATAAATGTTGTTTACAAGTAAAAATGGATGTTTTTCTAGATTTGTAATTCTGTGATTGTGACAGCTGGTTGAGAGTGTAAAATTTTCTGCAATATGTAGGTTCTGGCCTGTGGTAAGGTAATCACTTATATAGTTCAGGGATAGCCAACACTGGTCATTTCCTGCCTTTCCATCTGTTCCCTGGTGATCTGTCCCCATGAAGCCATGGTACATATTCATTTTGCATTTTCTGAAGCCCATGCCACTTCTCCATGGTTATGGCAGAATTACTGAACTGTAATTTTTAAAAGTCCTGAACTGCTGGTTCAAGGCAATTTGCTACTAGACTTGGTAGATAAAACTCATTCCATTTTCTTTTACCTTCATCTATACCTTTAGCTGGAGTTGAAATAGTGAGGTGAGCATGGGTATGTTAAGCTGAAAGGCAGTTACCTAAGAGGTGTTCACATACTCTTAGTTACTGGCTTCAAGGACTAAGCATGGGTTTTTTTTTGCTGAACCATGCATTGTTGTTGAAACATGGGTTATGTTGTCTGAACCAAGCTGAGATAGTAAATGATGGTAACAACCTTCCATTCACAACCTAACAACAAATCATAGTTTCTCTTAATGGTCCTTTTGTAGTTAAAAAGCCATGGGTTGTATTGGGTTGTGGTGACCCATGGCTCTGTGGTTGGCAGAGCAGGACTACATCTGCAGGTCCTGCACCAAAGTCACATTCCATGTTCACCGTCAACATCTACGTATTTAAAATGTTGGCTGAAAAGGACTGTAACCAAACTCAGCCATCTACATGACCAGAGAGAGAGAGCAGCCAGGCCACACACCTAACCTTGTCCCTGGAAGTTTCCCACCTGGTCCACAGAGGTTTAGGTTCCCTGTGTAGGCCCTTCCTCATGCTCCACCTCTTTAGCCTGGAGACATCAAGGCGCTTGAGGAACGTAAGTGTGTGATAAGTCTGTGATAAATGTGCCAAGAGAGCAAGGGATGGGCCTCTTCATCCAAAGGGCTTTGTCCACCCTAAATATCCTCTGATGGGGGAAGGAAAGGTATAAATGAAACTGATGGTGCACTTCACTCATGTCTGACAATGCAGACTAAGTCCTGATAACAGGACTCAGTTGACTTAGATGCACGAGCCACTGCACTCTGCTCATCCCTCACCTTCCCTGTATGAGCAAAGCTGTTGTGCACTCAGCTGGTACTTTAGGAAACACTGTCCAAGGGTGCTTCACTCATCTGTCTTCACTACAGCTAGCACCCTCTTCCTCTTTTTTACTTCCCACAAAATATGTTTAGTTATTTAAAACATTTCTATCCCATCTTTATCTGAAATAGATCTCAAGATGGCTTACAAACCATACACATAACAGCACATTAAAATAAAAATCCAATATATAAAAATGTACAATAAAATGATTCCAGTATATGATAAAAAATTAACCCTTAAAATACTGGATGAATAAAAAAAGTTTTACCCTGGCATTGAAATGACTAAAGCATCGGTGCCTGGCACAACTTTTTGGAAAGCAGGTTTCATAGCTGGGGCACTACCACAGAAAAGGCCTTTCCCCAGTCACTCTTCTAACCTCCTTCAGAGAGGGCTCCCAAAGAAGGACCGCAGGGGAAGATCTTATAGCTTGGGCAGGTGTATATGGAAGATGTTCCTTCAAATATACAGCAAGAAAAGTTGCACAAACTCTTTTGACTGGTCTGGAAGCAAGCCCTCTGATGTACGATGGAAAGGCTTGATGCAGGGAGATGAGGGAAACAAATTGGGCAACCTGTGATCTTTCTTCTCATCTGTCTTGTCAGGTCCCTCAAAATTACGTTTAACCCTTCTTCGTATAAGATGATCTACTTTCTTAAAGCCTATACAGACACAATCCTAGACAGATTTAGAGAGGGCAAAGGGGCTCTTTTCTGTTTAAACTTGCCTAGGATTGCGCCTACACGCAATATATATATTTACAATTACAGCACAGCTCACGACATGTTTCGTTTCAGCAGGGCTCCCACCTCTCGTTTTAAAGAGACACCTTTGCTCTGTACCTTGAGCAGCTGTAGGACAGGCAGAAAACAAGGGAAAGGTTTCCTTGGCATGGGGACACATCGATGAAAAAAGCTGCCTGGTTGATTTCCGCCTTCTACGGAGCCGTGGAAGGCTCTGGCGCCTCTGCCACATAACAAGCGCCCATCCTAACTGGACCTCTCACGCCTTCCACCTCCTCCAGGAACAGATACCACGCGCAAGGGACGCTTAGGGGCTTCTCGCACGAAACAGGGCGCGATCGATCGCTCGACACTCGCATCGTTCCGCCTAGCTCAACAGACACTGCGGCCCCCACCCTCAGGGACGGCGCGGCGACACGACGCGGGGTTAGGTGTGACTTTTCGTCTTTGAAGGCGCGGCCTTCGATTCGTCGCGGGAGGGCTTTTCCGCAGCCCACCCCTCGGGTGGGCCCGTGCTGATCCCTTCAAACGCGCCCAATCCAACCTGACGTCTCAACGGTCAGGTGACCGACTGCGCCGAGGGATAGCGCGCGACAGCTTCCACCCCGGGGCGCGCGGCCATTTGGACTCCGCCTCTCGCGATGCTGCGGTGGCTGATAGGAGGGGGGCGCGAGCCGCAGGGATTGGCTGAGGTAAAAGCCGGTTGTTAATGCCTGGTGGGGCAATGTGGCGCCGCTGCTGCTCCTGCAGCGGTTGTTGTTCTTGTTGATGGCGGCGGCGTGGTTCGCGAGTCTCCCAGCGTACTGCCGCTTTAACAGAGGGAGTACACTGGAGCAGCAGCAGTCACGACAGAGGGAGAGGACCCCTACTTCCCAGCAGTTTTTCTTTTAAATACACGTTTTAATTATGTTTGGTGGAGAAAGCGTCGCTAAGGCGACGTCAGAAACCGGGTAGCAGGTATTATGTGCTGGTGGGCTATGTCTTATTCGAAGATCTTTGCGATGTCCGTAACGGTATTTATATTAGTAAGTGGCCGAGCAGGACGTAAAATCATTTGACGACGCTGCTTGGTCTTACTTGACCTTTTCAGCGAGGGCCTGTCACTCGAATCGTAAAAGTCCAGTAAAAGTCACTTGTTTTTCATCTTGAGTTCCTGTTCCTCCTTCTCTAGTGATTCTTAGGTTGAGAAGCAGAACTGAGATGTATACCAGACCACAGGCACCTCTGAAAAATGGCTTTTTTTTAAGGAGGGTGGCAGGAAGAAGGTATAGCAGGAAAATGGTAGGGGGAGAAACACGTCTATGTAAAAGAAAAAAAATTGGGCCTTAGATCCTGTAACACAAGCACTGTGTTGCAGGGACATCAGAATTTCTAGACATTCTTTGTATTATTTTGTGTGAAATGTACATTATTCAAGGTGAGACTTGTGAAATTGTGCTTTACTGTGTCTGTCTTTGCTTAACTCTTGCACACACATACCCATTTTCAGTACTCATGTAACACTTCTAAGCACATTGCTCATACATCACATGCAAACAGAGCAGTTAGCGCATGCTAGTTAAACTGGTTTTCAGTACTATGTGTTTGAAGAATTTTTAGAGCTATGCATTCCCAAAATTGCATACACGCAGAAGTGAGTGACATGGTGTAATTTAAAGGTGGTTACATGAAGACAGATGTTCAGAATTGCTTTGTGATGCTGCTCTGCCAACTCAAACCATGATATTAATCAAAGGCACTCTTGGAGAGGAGTGTTTCAAAGTCTGCCTAACTACCACAGTAGAAGGGGCAAGATGTTGTTCTAATGGACAGGAACTACAACAACTGAGGGCCACCAATGAGAATACTTTATCTTTGGCACATGGCCACTTTGCACAACTTGATGGTAGGCACTTGAGAAGGACCCCCAGATCTTAGCATATGGTAGGGATGGTGAACTTGTGGCTTGCCAGGCATTTACATCTAGCCCACCAGTACTCCCAACAGTTCATGCCCTATCTGCAGCCACAGCCTTCTCTGCAAGCCCAAACCCCTTCCTGCACCATTTGAAGGGCATAGTTGGCAAACAAACAGAATCACTTACAGATTCCTGAGGTGGGAACATGCCAGCACCAAGCTCTTCATGTTCCCTGCCACTTGTCTTAGCAACAGGAAGTGCTTAGGATGATTGCCACTGTGTTAGAGAACATTCGAAGGCTTCTTTTATCATAGAGGGAAGGAAGGAAGACTGTTGTATTCCTTGAGGTTGAAGGGCTGTGGCAGGACTGAGGGTGCTGTTGGGGAGGTGGTTTCAGCTTTGTGTACAAAAATTATGTTTGGAGTGTACACATGCATATGCATAAACCTGGCTTTGGCTCTGCCCACCAAGTTTACCCACAAGTTTATGTAGCTAAATATGAAATGGATTGAGTGCATAAAGGAAGCTGCAGCCTTGAATTTAGAAGAGCTGAGCATGCCCATCATGGATAGGACATTTTAGAGGGCTTTCATTCATATGGTTGCCATAAGTTGGAGACAACTTGACAGCATATAACAAATGTAGCCTTAAGAGTGAAAAGGGTCCTTTGCTCTCAGGTTATGGAAATTGTAATAGTGAAGGTGGTTCTTCACATATCCTGTAAACTTCTTAAAAACCTGAGTCCTACACTTCGAATTGGGCTCAGAAATAGTATTGTTGCCAGTATAATTAATGCAAGGTTAGAGTTATTCTAGCTCTCATCAGCATCCAAGTGGCCACATCTCACTCTGGCAGTATCTTTTAGATCACATTCAGAGGCAGTCCCACATAAGATGCATTGCAGTGCTATATTTGGTGGTAACAAGAGCATGGGTAACTATAGCCAGGTCTAACCGCTCTGGTTAAAGCTACAAACGACACACAAGACAGGGCTTGCAACATCAATGACTCTTGGCTGTTGATCCCATCTATGCCTTCCTGTATAGTAATGAGCACTGCCTAACTGCATACTTGGTCATTAAGCGTAATACAGCTCCAACAAGAACCAGCTTTATGCCACTATCCAGCTTTGCAGTCAACAGACCCTCTAATTTTCTAGGATTAAGTTTCTGCTGCTTCTCTGACATCCATCTGAGAACTAAACTTAGATACTGTTCAAGAGTTCTGTAGTCTTTCAAAAACCAATAACTGCATGCCATTATTATATTGGTGAGATCAAAGCTTAAATCTCGAGATTGCTTCTTCCAGCAGATTCATGTGTTAGAATATCAGAAATATGATGGAGCCTCCAGTTAACTATTAGCCAAGGCCATGGGGCAGAACAGAAATTACCCAATACTAATTTCTGGAATTGTACATCTAGGAAAGTCTAGAATTACTCTAGTATTACCAATGACTTCGTCTGCCAATGACTTCGTTTGGTCAGATATTATTGAATGAATTTCAGTTATTGTGGCCTGATGATGTGGACAAGGTGCTTGGACAAGTATGTCCCACCACCTGTTTACTTGACCCTTGCCCGTCGTGGCTACTGGCCAAGGCCAAACACGGGATTGGTGCCTGGATCCTAGAGGTCATTAACACCTCTCTGAGGGATGGCCGGGTGCCTGCTCCTCTAAAGGAGGCAGTAGTCAGGCCGGTCCTAAAGAAGGTGTCCCTGGATCCAGAGATGGCTGCCAATTATAGACTGGTGGCCAACATCCCGTTTTTGGGCAAGGTGTTGGAACGGGTGGTGGCAGGACAACTCCAAGCACTCTTGGATGAAACTGATTATCTGGACCCATTTCAGTCCGGCTTCAGTCCTGGGTATGGTACTGAATCTGCTTGGTCGCCCTGTATGATGACCTGTGCAGGGAGAGAGACAGGGGGAGTGCATCCCTATTGGTCCTCCTGGACCTCTCAGCGGCTTTCGATACCATCGACCATGGTATCCGTCTCGATAGGCTAACGGGACTGGCAGTGGCTTGGCAGTGGTTCCGCTCCTACCTTGACAGCTGATTCCAGAAGGTGGTGCTGGGGGACTTTGGCTCTGTGCCATGGCAGCTATGTCATGGAGTACCACAGGTGTCCATTTTGTCCCCCTTGCTATTCAACATCTACATGAAACCGCTGGGAGAGGTCATCAGGAGGTTTGGGCTGCAGAATCATCAGTATGCTGATGACACCCAGCTCTACCTCTTTTTCAACTGATCCAGGTGAGGCAGTGGCTGTACTGAACTGGTGCCTGGCCAAAGTAATGGGCTGGATGAGGGCCAATAAACTGAAGCTCAATCCAGACAAGACGGAGGTCCTCTTGGTGGGTTGTTCAAGCTCCTGGGTAGGTGACTTGGACCTTGCCCTGAATGGGGTGGCACTCCCTCTAAAGGACAGGGTCCACAGCTTGGGAGTGCTCCTCGACCTGGAGCTGTCCCTGGAAGCTCAGGTGACAGCGGTGGCAAGGAGCGCTTTCTTTCAGCTTCGGTTAATCCATCAGCTGCGTCCCTACCTGGAGGACGATTGCCTAGCGACAGTGACACATACATTGGTTACTTCCCAGTTGGATTTCTGTAACGCGCTGTATGTGGGGCTGCCCTTGAAGACAGTCCAGATACTTCAGATGGTGCAAAATAGAGCAGCCAGGTTGCTGACGGGGACTGGGCATTACTCTCATATAACCCCAGTCCTCTACCAGCTTCACTGGCTTCCCATCGAAGACTGGGCTCAATTCAAGGTGCTAGTTATTACTTATAAAGCCCTTAACGGCTTGGGACCAGGATACCTAAAGGAATGCCTCCTTCCATATTTGACCTCCCATCCCCTGAGATCAGCAGCAGAGGCCTTCCTCCGGGAACTGTCCGTGAAAGACATTAGGAGGCTAAGTACCCGGAGGAGGGCTTTCTCTGCAGTGGTGCCCCACCTATGGAATGCGCTCCCCAGAGAGGTCCACCTGGCACCATCGTTACTTGTTTTTCGGTGCCAGGCTAAGACCTTTTTATTTCAATGATATTTTAATAACTTTTAATATCAGTTTATAGGTTTTAATATGCAGCCAGGGTGGATCTGGATTTTATCTGTATTATGTTTTGTTTTATTTATGTAAGCCGTCCCAAGGCTATGCGATGGGATGGCATACAAATGCTCTAAATAGATAGGTAGGTAGGTAGATAGAGAGTATTATGTATTTAATGTCCAGGCCACACAATTGGGGTGGTAGATTTCCAAAGCCACTGATATCTAAGGCCACCATAGGATCACTCAAATGCATTTGATATTGGAAGATTGCATTATTATCATCCAGGCATGTAAGGTTGTTAGTCTCACATCCAGTTTGGAACCTGCAGTAGAATAGATCTAGATAATTAGTTTCCTTCAAAACTATTTGTAGCTGAGAAATTAACATGTACTCTAGCAGCTTTTCTAGAAGAGAAAGTTGGAAGCCAGATTGTAGTTCTTCAAATCCCAAGAATGTAAAATTATTTTCTTATTTTGGGTAGCAGATCTTTGCTGAAGAAAGGCTTAGGCCAGTTGGACCTCCAGGAGGGGTTGCAAGAACAGAAATTCCAGAAGCATGAACAAACAAATTCAGGGTGAGGATTTGGATAGGCAGATGAAGTGAGTAGTAGTAGATGAAGTGCCACAGAGAGCTCTAAAGAGGGAAGTTTCAGAAGTGAAATCAAATATATCCAATATTAGGTCCAAGATGGGTAGAACAAAGAAGTACATAGCCTCATATGGAGGGGAGGGGCGAAAAGCTAAACAAGCTTAATCGTATGTTGTCCATTGCTCCACTAACAAGCCTTAAGTAGTGCTTTAGGTTGTTAGACCCACCCCTAAACTGAATAATATCTGCTCCCTTAATGGGGCCTTGGTTGCAATAGAAGCCATTGGCTGTGACCATGCAGAGTTCCTAACTGCTCTGTGGCAGAATTCCAAATAAAGTTCCAGTTTGAAGAAGATAATGCAACTTTCTCCAAGTGCAGGGGTACTGGCCCAATGAGTTTTTCTGGGAAGGAGGGGTCTGAGGAAGGAGTGGCTTAGGAGGTAGGGGCCTTCTAGAACACAGTCCCTTCCCTGGTCTGTGAGATAGTTTATAGTGGAACCCATTTTCTTCAAGGAGGATCAGATCACACTACTGCTTCTTTAAGGACAAAAGGGATACACCTTCTCTAAGGGTGGAATCTTCTGCCTCCAAAGTCCATGTGTTCAAACCCATCCTTTTTTTGTGTGTGTGGTCTTCACAAGGAAGAATCCAGCGAACACATCTTATGATTAAGCAATGTGAAAGTTATCTATTACAACTTCAGGTTATGGGATGGCATAGAAATGGAAATAAATAAATAAAACAATAAATTTAAAAAAACTTGGCAAGCCAGTGTACTGGGTACCTCAGTATTGACCCTGCATTGTCTATGACATCTGACAGTGCAAATATGAGTGATTTTACCCACAAAAGGCATTACAAATTTGTCAGAGCAAATTTCTGAGGGCTGTATCACTGGATCCAAAGTATGACTTGTCATATGTGTTGGTCTGATATCATTTGAGATAGGCCCTCGGTTGTTATGTCAACCATGAAGACCTGGGCTAATCTAAATAAACCTACCTTGGCATGGGTGTTGAAATCTGCAAGGACCAGGTGCCAGCTTGAAGAACTTCTGTCAGCTCTAGCCATAGCTATCCAGTTTAGCATAGTTTTCTTAAATCATGAACTCAAACATTCTTTTTCTGTGTACAGTTTGAGTTATACAGTTATAGGAGTTATACATTCCTATATACTAGGAGAGCACCAGTAGTAATAAATAATGAGAAAAATCTATTAATTATATACAATTGGTGATTTACAGTTTTATTTTTCTGATGTATGTATTTTAGAAATCTGTGCAGACCATTGGTGAAGAACAAACACAAAATCCCTACACTGAGCTCCTTGTGCTGAAAGGTCATCATGATATAGTACGATTTCTAGTGGCGATAGATGATTACAGGTAAGATGTTAGTTTTATAATCCCTCCCTTTTCACTGTAGAGATTTCAGTGGACCTATAAAAATGAATGTTTTTTCTTTGCCAGATTTGAAGAAAATATGACAGGTAGCTTAGATCTCAAATGTGGGTTGGGTGGCGCATCCGTCCAAGCCTTTAACTAAAACTAATTAACCTGTGCTTGTTGCAGATTTCTTTCAGTGCCAGAATGCTGGCAATTTAAAAGCTAAATCTTACTTATTTCTGGAATCATATCACTGTATTTTCCTTCCAGTACAGTACTGAGCCAGTTTTTATGCTTCTGATTAATCACCAGTGATCTGCAAATTCCTCTCAGTCCATATAAATCCCTACCATACAAATTCTTAGACGTTGCTCTTTGTCCTTCGGCTTGGATCAGTCCAATCAGCTTGGGATATGCCAGCAGAATGGGATGGGTAGAAGTGGCACTGCTATTTCTTCCTCCCGCAGCTGTCTCCCCAAGCCCTTCAAAACCCTTATCTGAGCATTAGCAGACCCTTAGGGAGAGGGAAGGACAGCCAAACATTGGATGGGGGCAGTTTTCATGATCAAAGCTCTTGCTCACAGAAGTTTCCTTTGCTTGATTTTCAGCAATCATAGACAAGCTTGAAAATGTGTAAACAAGCCAGGGCTCTCGTTCTTTTTCATCAGTCATGTCCCTTTGGAAGCAGTTACTTTCTTATCAGATGCATCCATAGTTTTGCCTTCCTGAGACCTGGAATGAGGATTTTATGCACAGGTTTATTCTTGATTCCTGAACAGGAGCATCTGTGAATATGGACAAATAGATTGGGCATAGATCCAACTTCCTTAATGTAATTAGGATACTCGATTTTTGATTAAAAACATGGAAAAAAACAAAATCAAAATACTCTGTGTTTTACAGTCAGATTGCTCCCTTCCTCTCTTTCTCTTCCTACATACATACATATCTGTATATATGAGAACATGAATAAAAATGTATTCACTTACAAGCAATTAAATATTGCACATTCCTTGAACAATTTTATTCAGCTGGATATTCCATTTTTTATGTTTGCCATGTACATTCATTAAGAGCACTGTTAAACCAGGCACCACCTTCTTTGACTCTTTCTAAATAACATTAGCATTGTTACTTGGTTTCTGAAATGGTTTTATTCAGTTTTCATAGTTCTTTCATTGCATTTTTTGTCAACTGTTGTAAGCCAAGTTTCACGCTTCAGCTCTTTAGATAATATCATCTTATTGAGAATTTTGCAGAAGGATTTTCTTGTTTTCTCGGTGGCTCAGCTAAAACCAGTGAGTGGAAAATTTTCTCAGATTGGTTTCTGAAGATACTAAATAAATCCTGTATCAACCTAACAGACAGCTGCTTTTCACTTCTTTTCTTTTGTGTTTTTGAACATGAAGAGAGGGTCATATTGATTGCAAGATCACTAAAGAAGGCTAAGCCTCAGCAAGAGTCTTCCAAAAAATGGAATGAGATAAAATTGCAAGTAATACTCTAGCATTTGACACATTAAACTAGACTGAATTCATAACACACTTTAAGAATAGCTTTCTCTGTTGCTCGTTTGACCATTTCTTGCTCCTCCAGGAAACAGACAAGGTTATAGAGGATGGTGATCACGACTGGAAAAGAATCAGGTGACCCATGAAACACCAGTTTGGTGAAAAGAATCCATTTGTAGGATTGGTGGCTCTTCACAGGAACTCCTAGGCTCCATATTTCTGATTATTTTTAAGCAAATTTAGTACATTGTGTATATTGAGTTATAAATACATTTTCCCAAAAAAGTTAAAAGGAACCTTAGAGTGAGACACACGACCTGCTGTTGTTAATGGAATATAAAGTTTCACATTTGAATTCAGTTTGTAAGAGGGTTTTACTGAGGTTATGATTTTAGTTCAGAGGATTGCTTTCCCCCCTTTGTTTCAATAACTGAGGGAATCTTACTCATGCTAGCCTTGTATTTTTATATATGCAAAGTAATAATTTTTGATGATTCAGACATTATTTTAAAAGACTGATTTCTACTGAAGTCAGTGTTTCATCCCTTTTGTCTTGCATTTGTCAGTTATCTGATTTAAAGAGTGATTACTGATGACTCTTTTGTTTTGGGTTCTAAATGGTTGTGGTATTACCTTCAAATATGTATATCTAATTTATGATTTGTTGTTTATCAGGTTTGCATCTGCTGGTGATGATGGAATTGTATGTTTGTGGAATGCTCAGGTTTGTTTCTGTTTAGAAATACGTTGCATACAGCTGTGATTAAGCAAATGAAGTTTAAATTGGAGCCATTTCTAGATGACTTACCTAAGTATAGATAAGTATATCATAAAGGATAATATAAAGATCTGTAAAACAGTACTTGAAAGACTGCATTTTGTAGATCATATTAAACATCAGTCAGGTATAAGCGTGTTTTTAAAAAGTTCAGGACAAATGTAGCATAGATAGTATCAATATTCTGGCATATCTGCCTGTGAAACTAGAAAAATATTCCTAAAATAATAATACAGTGGCATGTTTTGTGACACTGCTGGCATACTATTTAGTACATTTCTTTGCTGGCTTAGCAGTTCCCTGGGTAAAAAGCTTAAAATCATTATAATGGTAAAATGTTTAGAAGCTTGCAGTGCTTGTGAATTGTGTCCTCCATGTTTACTAACATATGGCATGTTCCTGGAAATGTTTCTACATGTTCCTGGAAAAGCTCACTAACATAGAAACTATTTAATTATACACAATGTCCAAAATTGCATGTTTGCACTGTTTGTTTTGAAACAGTGTTTTAACATCAGTTGAGATGCTTGCCTTTAAAGCATTTATACCCTGCTCTTCAGCTATCAAAGGCTCTCAGAGCAGCTTACAATAATAAGCCACTTCCCTCAGGCTTACAGTCTGAAAGATGAAAAACAACATGAAATCAAATGAGAAAGAGAAGGGAAAAAACAAACTCCATCATTTGTTCTTGGTTACAGAGTTCTTGTAGGTTTCCCTCTGACAAAGAATGATGGCGAAAGCTCCATGCAGCTGCTCCTTCTGTGGCTAGTATGTGAAGCCAGGTTGTTGTTTCTGTTTGCCAAAATAATCTTCCTTCATGTCACAGAGTGAAACCTCTCACTGGCTGTTGGTCCTTAGCTGTAATGAATGTGTAACTTTGTTCTTGCTGGCATATTTTACAACTGAGTATTCTGCTAGGTCTTCATGGATGACATGGTCAGGGCTGGATGTGTTCTGTAATTTTACTAAATTAAAATGTATTTAAGCATAGAATTCAGCACCCTAGGATCCTCAACTTCTAGTTTTTAAAGTGTTTTTACTTTATAAACTCATAAACATAGCTGGAAAGAAAAGCAGATGGTGGGTGGTGATAGGACAGATTTGTGCAGAATTTTCAATGGGGTTCAAGTAGTGTGTGCTCCTTCCCATGCCTAACAGAAATATTTGCTCAGTTTTCTTATTTCTAGATACAGCTCACAGAATTCTGCATTCTTGGGTAGGAACTTTGCTTGTGTGTTAGCAAAGCACTTACATAGCTACAGTTGTACTGTATTCATTTTATCATTATTAATTATCTGCATTTGTGATTGTCCCATTAGGGCTGAGAGGCTTCTTAGCTTCTTAAAAACAGAATTCTTAAGTACATACATCCTTTTTGCTTCTGTTGTAATACACAACTGTGCAGGAACTGAGGATCACAGGCAGATTAAGTGGTGGAGCACATGATTGTCATGTAGAAAGTCCCAGTTTCAATCCTCTGTATCTCCAGGTAGTTCTTGGAAAGACCCTACCTAGAACCTTGAAGAGCTGCTACCAATCAGGATAGACAGTGCTGAGCTTGATGAACCAATGGTTTGACTCAGTATAAGGCAGTTTCTTATGCTCTAGTTTAATGTTATTAAGGAGAGTATTGGATTATTTGGAACTTGTTTATTAAAAATGTTTTAAATAAATAAATAAATAAATAAATAAATAAACAAACAAACAAACTTATTGGTGCTCCAGCTTCCTTCACTCTCACCATTGCTTTATCTAGATGAACAGAATAAACCATCTAGGTAAAATACATGGTGCAAGCCACGGCAGTGAAAATCAGTGTTGTGCCTCACTCAGTGTACTGGATGTATGTATGCTAGCCTCTGAATTTGGAGGTTTATGTACATCTGAATCAGAGGGCCCTGTGATTTGCACTCTTAATTATTTAAATCACACATTAATATAATACTGAGTTTGCCCTTCACATTATTTTATTTAGAACTTTTAGTATAATGTCTTTGATTTTGTTTTTCAGACTGGAGAGAAACTATTTGAACTACAAGCACACACACACAAAATCACAGCTCTTGCAACTTTTCCTCTCTTGGATACTTGTGAAGAAAAATGTCACCTGATTTTGACAGCAGGTGCTGATAGGACTGTTATTGTATCCATTAACTGAAAGGCAATCATGCAGGAGAAATGCAGAATGGGCACATGTCATGTTGCATGGAATAAGCTGCTGCTGGAGCAGATGAGCAGTCATGATTTCCAGGACAAAGCAGTGCGTGCCAGACAAAAATGCCAGTGCTTCATTTCATAGACCCAAATCTGGCAAGATGCAATTGACATGTGGAAACAAGATTCTGTGTGCAGAGCTCATTTGTGTTGTTCAGTCACAAAGGTGTGTCTGACTCTTCGCTCTTTTGACCCCATGGACAACATTCCTCCAGGTTCTCCTGTCCTCCACCATCCCCCGGGGTCCACTCAAGCCCACACCTACCTCCCCAGTGACTCCATCCAGCCACCTCAACCTCTGCCGTCCTCTTCTGCTTTTGCCTTCAGTCGTCCCCAGCATGAGGGTCTTTTCCAACGAGTCCTTATTTCTCATTAGGCAGCCAAAATATTTGAGCTTCAGCTTCAGGATCTGTTCTTCTAAAGAGCAGTCAGGGTTTATTTCCTTTAGGGTTGAAGAGCTCATTAATAGCATGTGCAAAAAACTTGGAGGGAGTAAACCATGTGTTCCTCTAGATTACAGGCACAGCCAGAACCCAAATCATGGGTTCTTGTGCATTTGCCTCCCTGATGCATAAGATGCCACTCCCCCTAGTTTGGAGGGAGGCAGATGACTCTCTCCCATTTGTTGTGAGTCTGTACAAGTTGAAGTCTGGCTCTGGGTGTTAGAAATAGCCCCAAACACCTAGTTGTGTCCTTCCATTTCTATCTACATGTTAACTGTCTTGTTATCTTCAGTTCCTTAATAAAAGAAAACAGGTATGGGACTGTGAAAATGGTAGACAAGTCCACAAAGTATCCTGCTTTCATTCCACTGTGAAAGTAAGTAAAAATGAAAGTGACCTTTGGTTTTGATCAGCAGGTCTGCCCAGGCTCTTGCAACTCTGCTGACTTTTTTGTGTGCAGTGTAAGATACTCATAGGTGAAGTTCTTAAACAGCCTATTGCTGCTTTGGGCAGCTAAATTGCCCACATATTATTTTGTGCTTTTCCCTGAAAAGACTGACTTGCATGTTACACTTGGCTGCATTTGATCACTTTGTTTTCTTACAAGAAGAATTCCTAACCAATACATATGGCTTAATCCTATTTTGGAAGTCCATAAGCCTCCACAATGGCAACTTCAGTGATCTCTGAATTATATCTGTAAGATTATGGATGTGGTCACCATTGAGTCCAAGATGGCTCCCAACTGTGCTGCTTATTTAAACACATTATGACTAAAAGTAAGCTTTCTCTTAATATAGCTTCCTCCACTGAGAGGCTATAAAAGGCAACCTCAGTAGTAGTCCTTGAGCATTTCTATGCTCTTATTTCATGTCACAGGGCATTGTTGAAGTATCATGACTAATGTGAAAAAGTGCTTCTGTGAATCATGAGGTTAATTTTAGAGCTCAAGAAATAAAGCTTCATGTTTGAACATACACTAACAAAGGTCTTCTCTCTTACTTTTAAACAAAGGAAAGGAAAGGAAAGGACAGGACAGGACCTTACATATTGCCTTAAGTTGACAAAAGTAGTTCTTTAAGATTGTAAATCGTATGTATGTTTAGACAGAAATGCCCTGCAACACCCAATATTCCCTAGCCAGCAAAGTTGACTGAGGAGCTGGAGTTATAGGACTGTTTTCCATCTAAACATGCATAGGATTTTACTCTAAATGGCTTTGAAAAGTGTGGTCTTAAAAGGACTGGTCTTGCATTTGCTTTATACCTTCTTCAGTGAGAGCGTGCCAAAAAGGTGCTCAAGCAAGTACCTCTATTAATCAATCTTCTTTTTGTCTTTATAAGGGAATAATGTCCTCTATGTTAAGTATAAATGTTTCTGGCAGATAGTATTCCAAGCTGTATTTCATAGTAACTGAAGTCTTACTAAGTAAACCTGATAATTTTATTGAAAAAATCCCTAAAGAACTTTGTTATGGAACATACATCTGATTATCTAATTTGGTTCTACAGTGTTTGACAGTTCTTCAAAGACTGGATGTATGGCTGTCTGGAGGGAGTGATTTGTGTGTTTGGAACAGAAAATTAGATCTCTTGTGTAAAACAAGTCATCTTATTGATGCAGGTAAAACATTTCAATGGCTCATTATAGCAGTTAAAGTGTAAGTTAAATGGATCTATATAATGATATAAAATCAACTTGGCAAAGTCTCTTTAATTCTAAAGATAACATATATTAAAGCTGACCTCTATTTTTAAAATGTCAATGTAATCATTTTTGAATTAAGAGTACTTGGAGCCCCCCTGTGTCCTATGAATTTTAAAGTGTGTCAAACTTCAGTAACGGTATGTTAACTGAACTGGGTCAGTTTATATAAATCACCAAATGACTATATATGTCTTTAGAAATGAAATTAGACCCTTCCAGGTATACTTTGTGTTTTAGGAGAATGATGAATGTTAAATATAAGATTCCATCCATCCCAGTAAGATAAATGCAATACAGCAGATGCTTACTTGAAATATAATAAAGAAACATGTTGCTCTTTTAGATTTATCTTAAGATAGTTTTGGAATGTGCTGAAACAAGTTTGGTTTTCTAATTTACAAAAGAAGTTAAAAAGATTTTTGCCCTCTGTAAGACAGACTGTGGGTTTACAAAGATAACAAACAGTTGTATTGATGTCCTGTAAGCAGAACAAGGTATTTAGGATTTATCAGAATAAAAAGAAACTTTGTGTAGCTTAATGTTCTACTACTTGCCTTACAAAATTGTATTAGCAAGAGGTAAGACTGAAAATTAATATCTGAGATGCTTTTATTAGTCCTCTTCAGAGGTAGTTTGTGCTTCGTATTTGTACAGATTAATAGCAGGTGAGCTGTGTGTTAAGTATTTACTTGTAATAAAACATCCAACAATATTTTTGCCTTAAAGATATCAGTGCCATGATTGAATTGCCAAAAAACTGTGTGGCAGCAGCAGTTGGTAAAGAACTGAGTAAGTATTGCTTTAATAATGAAGATACTTGAATTGTATTAATATCTGTTGATGTTAACTGCATTTCATACATTTTAGAATGATGCAAAACATGCTTGCATCTACTTATAGCCATGGGGTGTGATCCAAAAATCTATAAGATCTTTCCCAAGCAGGTTTTGCTTGCTGTCTTTTTTAAACAGCGAGTTCCAAAGCAGGATATGACATATAGCTAGAAAGAAACAGTCCTTGAAGTAATTGCTGTTAAAATGCAGATATTTCAATGTCAAGATATAACTGTATTTTATCATGCCAATAGTTTATCTTTTAGGTCTCTAAACACTTGTTTCTTAATTTTTCATGCCATAACTCATCCTGTTTAGAAATACTAAATTTTGCAAAAGAATATACCATTGGTATATTCAGCACTGGTGATCAGCACTGTCAGAGATGCCAGAACGGTAGTATTCTTTGCTTGTAGATAAGTCATTCCCTCTAATAGTACATTTAGGTGTTGGGTGCCAAAGAAAGCCAAAGGATACTTTTTTAAACCAACAAAAACATAAAGAGGCAATGCTACCTCCCCTCAGTATGGCCCAGTAAGGATTCTTGATAGCAACAAGATGCTGAATGTCAGTAGGAAAGGGTGAAAATAGAATACTGGTGGGAGAAGTGATGGAATGGACTATCCTGGAAGTGGACATGGCTAGCTGACTAGAATCCTGAACAGGAGTGCTTGTATTAGGAAGTGAGGCTCCACTGAAACTTTTGTTACATGATGCATTTTATGTACTATTATTCTGAATGTAAAGATATGTTTTTACAAATTTTGTTCACCTTTTTGTGCTCAGTAATTTTTAGACTGAAAACTTCCAGAAATGGAACTGAATGGGATATCTTTGAAGTGAAACGTCTTCTTGACCATCAAGATAATATTGTGTCATTGGTTAATGTCAGTGGTAAGACAGTTGTCAATTTCATCCTTTGTAATTTGGAGGTGTATTGATGCTGCAGTTTTTCTTCTATTGCTCCCAAATGGTTTTTGTTTTGTTTTAAAAGCAATAAAGTTGATTTTTAGTTTTAAAAACTCTTGGCTTCTCCTCAAATATATGTGCCTGCATTTAAAATATCATAGAATGAAACCATGTGCTTTCATATCTTTACAATAACAGCAGTGATGCATAAGTCAAACTTTCTGACTTCAATTAAACATGTATCTAGCCTTGTACAGTGAGTTCTTTAGATGAAATGTCTTCCTTCCTTGCTTTTACAATTGGTATTTGTGACTGATATTGTATGTTTATAATACCTTTCCTCCAAGAAGTTCTGTGTGAAGTTCATGTTTCTCCAAATAAGAAACATTTGAAGTAGCTTATGCTGAGAAGTGGTGACTGACTGAAAGTCACTCAGTGATGTTCATGGCTGAGTAAGAATTGTAATTTGGATCTCACTGGTCCTAAACCAGTTAAGCTTTGATCTGATTTTGCATGGGTTCTTCTTATCCCTTCTGGTAACTTAATGAAGCCAAATGAAATGTGGTTTCCCCAGTCCTTCTGAAACACTACTCTTTATTTTAAAATCACAGTACTATACTTTAGACTCACTAAAGCAATCTTCCTCAACCTTGTGCCTTCCAGACATGTATGGACTGCAACACCCAGAATTCCCGCTCAATAGCCTTGCTGAATGGGAATTCTGGGAGTTGTGGTCTAAATGCCTCTGAAGGCCACCAGGTTGGGTAAAGCTGCACTAAAGCTAACACTCTTTAGCACACTTCATTGAGAAAATCTCCTGTACATGTCCCATTGAAAAGAAAAGGAACTATAAAATTCCCATTCATTTTAATTAGATTTCCACAAAAGAATTTAGCATTGAATTTTTTGTATACAGTCAGATGTACCTTGACTTCTTGTATTTTTATTGACTTTGGAACCTCCTTGAACTTAGTTGTTATTTATGACACCTAGATTTGACTTTTGCAACTGGCTCCCATGTTGGTGAACTGGCAGTCTGGGATTCACTGGACTGGACAATGCAAGCATATGAACGCAGTTGGGAGGCATCTCTGCATATGGACCCACAACAAGAAATAAAATTATCACACAGTCAGAATGAAGTATCAGTTCAACATCTAACTTCTGATGATGAGGTAAAAATTTGAACTCTAAAAACTAAGATGTATAAACTACATTTTCCTCTGTGTCTTTGGTTAGTAAATGCTTATTTAATGTAAAATTTGTTTTACATCAGATAATTCACATCCTACAAGATGTGAAGTCATAAGCAAAAAAGAAAAAAAAATCAATTGCAAAACTTGTCTTTGGGTTGGAAAATTCAGGTAGTCCCTGCAGGCACAAACCAATGTAAACATACTCTTATGTGAAAGGCCTGTTAAATGATTGCAGAGTTTCAGTCCTAACTGAAATGCATTATCCTTCAGAATTGAAATGAATTGTCATTCAGAATTTGTTATGCTAGGTATTGAACAGAATAGGATGAGGATCATAGAACGGCTGCAAAGAATGTTGTATTCTTCACAGAAGTAATGCATTCATGTTAAGTAATTGGTTCCCAAATTAGTACTAATGAGGGAGACACTTTCTTTGGGATAGGATGTAATTCTTGAGTAAGATTCCACAGTTTTTGTTTCTTGCTATCATTAATTAAAATTTGACAAGTACTGCAGTATTCTTTTTGTTTCCCATCGTCCAAAATGCATGGTAATTAGATTTACCGATAATTTCAAATTCAGGCGTATGTTACTTCTTCAATATAAATCACTCCAGTGAATTCAGAGTTGTCTGAGTGCCAATACTTTGGTTCTAGAGCACAGTCTGAGAATAAGCTGTCTTACAGAAAATAAGCAGGCTTGGCTCTGGTCTTACCTAGATGGGACACTGCCTGGGAATTCTGTGTGTGGCCCATGTTACAAATGCTAGGGAAAAACGGGGAGGGATGTAGAAGGGACCCTTGGTGGTAGAGTTTTGGGAATGATGGCCTGCAACTCATGTGCCTTTCAGGCCTACTGCTGTTTCAGCAGCAATCTCAGCGCCCCTTTTCCACTGCTCTCCGCCCTTCTGGCTTGCAGTAGCAGTTCAGGGGGAGGATGGCTCCAGGTGGCTTTGATCCTTAGTGCTTCCACAGGGCTTCCTGGGATTTCTGCAGGAAAACCAAGTAGGGATGAGGTGTGCAAGGGACCACAGTATGCCTGATTTCCTGTTAGGTAGATTATTATTATTATTATTATTATTATTATTATTAATTATATTTCTATACCACCCATAGCCGAAGCTCTCTGGGTGGTTCACAACGTTGAAGTCCCCCATCCAGATTCCAACCAGGCCGGACCCTGCTTAGCTTCCAAGATGAGGAGTGATCAGGCCCTTCAGGCTACATAGATCATGGGACCTCAGCCAGAGAACCCACACTGTGTGGCTTGTGCTGCACTGTGAATTGTCATGTGAAGCCACCTGATGTCACAGACTTCCTGGAAATCCAGTCTTCTTTGTTAAAGGTTTTATTAATTTTTCTTTCCAGTGTGTGTTTGCTGCTGTTGGAAAGGGCATATACGTGTATAACCTTAAGACGAAACGTGTGATTGCCTTCCAGAAGATTGCTCATGACTCCACTGTCCTACAGATTACAAAAGTTCCAAACAGGTACAAGTTACATAAATGTTTAACGGACTAAAAGTGCAATCCAGAGAGCCAGTGTGGTGTAGTGATTAAAAGTGTGGGACTAGGACACAGGAGATCTAGATTCTACTCCACACTCAGTCATGGAACCAACTGGATGACTTTGGACCAGTCACAGACTCACAGCCTAACCTATTCACACAATTATCATTGTGAGGATAACACTGAGGGAAGAAGAAAATTAGTTTCTCTTCTTGAGAATGAGTTCCTTGAAAGGAAAAAAGGCAGGATATAAATATAAATAAATATATAAGCAACAGAAAGATGAATGTGATCATACTTAATTTTTATCAATTCCCTCATCCTTTCTTACAAAACACTGCATCCACTCAGAGGTCCTGTAATATTTAGCGCTGTTGAAAGCATAATAGGGTCTGTAACTTGAATTCCCCTTTTTGAATGGAGATAGTTTCTTTTAAAATGCACTAGAGTGATTTTGGTGGATAGGTAATAAAAAGAAACTGATTATGCTCAGTAAGTACAATGACCTGTTTCGTATGTAATGACAACCCATTAGTTAAAAAACCAATGGGTTGCCATGAGTGGGGATGAGCAGGTACACTGCCTGCAGTGTATTTCCTTTTCCACTTGTATTACACATCCCATAACTGGTTGCTTTCTAGGGAATATGGGGTGCAAACCTGGACAACCTCTAAATAACCCATTGTTGTTGAGTTAACTGCTGGATTGTTCAGCTCATAAACAATCCAGGGGTCTGAGTTTGCAGGCCACACTTCACAAGCTATGAACAAGCCAATCATAGATTGTTGGGTGAAAGAGGAAGAGGTGGGTGCACTGAAGCCACATAACTGCTCGCACAATGGGTGTCATTGGCTGCATTCACACTGCACAACAAACAATCTTTTGTGATTATCATAGTTTTTTACCATGATCTGCCTGGCAGATCAGGTTGTTTCTATGTTATTACTGTTTCCATTCTCCATGCTCAGTTCTCCTACTGTTGACATGTATCACATCAACCACTGTGCCTGAAATCCAAACCCAAAGTGCATCACTTCCTGCCTCTGTCATCTGCCTTTTCCTTATCGGCCCACACATAGAGGATGGATGACTAGAATAGCTCCTGTAGTTGCCACTCTTTGCAGAGGACTCAGTAGGAGCTGTATATCTGAACTGTGGAAATCATGATCCTGAGTTTAGACAACATGGTGGTACAGGGAAACCATAGAACAAACCGTTGTTTCTTATTGTGGCTTCTAAAGACCAAAAGTAGCATGGTGAGCTATCATGACTGGGTTCAGGCAATATGACAAATCAAGAATGGCAAAAAGCCACCATGGCTTGTTGTACTGTCTGAACCCAGCCATTGTGTGCAAACAGGCTCACTGGTGAGATTCAGGCCTAGTCTGGATCTAACCTGTTGTATTTACTGGGCATAATGTACAAAGATTATTCTGTTTTCGCTTCTGCTTCTTCATTGCTATACCATTCAATTGCTGAAGCTCTCTCTTTGAATGTTTGTGAAGGAACATGTTCATCAACATTTAATATCCACCCTTCTGCTTTAAGAAAATCAGTATCTGATATGACTGCATTTTGTCCTTTATTTTAAATTGCAGTTGTTTGGACCTAATTTAGTCAGAAGTAAAATTAATGGGACTGACATGAATCAAAGATACCTTTAGCCTTCCCAAAATACTCATTCATTCTGCCCATCTATATTTGTATGACTATCAAGATACTAAACTTTCCTGAAAATGCCAGGCTTTGACTAGCCATTGAAGTGCCAAGAGAGAAGTGTACAGACACACATTTGAAAGCATGGTTGCTATTCAGCGAAAGTGCCACCCTGCTGTTACAGATCTCAGTTCTGTGAAAGGCAGGTCATAGAGCCACACCAATCAAAGAAATAAAGAGGATAATGATATGGAATGAGGCATATTTGAACTGTCTGGTGGTAGGTCATGCAGATTAAGATAACTGGTATTACTGTGAACTGGGTTTAGATGCATATAGTCAGCTTGTGCAGTTGGGCCAAATAGGATTAATAACTCCCTTGCATCTCATCCTACCCCTCTCAAGGAGTGAGCCACAGAACTGTGCAGTAGTTATAGCTTCTGAACCATCTTTCAAGACAGCATATACAGTGGTCAATATATAAAGTTGTCGGAGTATGACTGCAGTGGTGTTGGAGAGAAGCGGATAAATTGGCTCTCATACTTAAGCTGGTGAAAGATATCCTAAGGCACTGCAAGCATGTGTGACTCCAATAGCAAAGTGGAGTCATTTATTGTAAGCCATCCTGAGACGTTTGTAGGGGATGGGATGGAAAAACTTTTAGTAAGTAAGTAAGTAAACTCCTAGACATCCTACAGAGGAATTGTAAACCCATCCAGAACAGGCAAATCATTTTGTAGTGCCTGCTATGACACCCCGGTTGTTTGTGTTGTCTTACATGAAGCTAGAGCTCAGAGGGGTCTTCTGCTAAAACCACACCTGAGTATTGTATGGAACCTTGATTTTGAGCAGTTGTATAGATATGCTTCTATACAATGTTCTAGTAATATATACCTGATTTGCTTCGAACAGGCAATTAATCTCCTGTTCAGAAGATGGCAGTGTTCGCATTTGGGAATTAAGAGAAAAACAGCAGCTTACAGCGGAGCCTGTTCCATCAGGTCTGTATCCATCAAATGACAGTTTGTTGCCTGAGAACTGAGGGGAGAAGTCAGATATTGCCATAGTTGCCCTGTCTATATTTCCCTGCATAACACTTCTTTTCTTATGAACATATTATTCATATGTTTTAAAGTTGACCAGAAAGCAAGAGAGTCATTTCAATTTGAACAGAAGATAATAGTTGATTTTTAATCAAATTACAGAAAAAGCAAAATGCACTTATTATATTCTCGCCAGATCAAATAACCTTACTTGTATGCAGTTGCTGTTTCTATGTAACCTTGCATGTTTATGACTATTGAGCTGCTCTGATAAAAGTATCCTTTTTTGTTTAGAAAATATTTTGGGAGCTTGACTGTTGTAGGGAGGCCTTTGCAGCAGGCAACTGAAAGGTGTAGAATTTGCACTGGCTACCTATTCCCTACCAAACCAGTTTTAAGGTTTTGGTGCTAATGCATGAATCTCTGAACAACTTTGAATGCCAGACAAGATCTTCAAGAATATAAAAGACTGACACACAACTCCTTGGACAGTTTTTAATTTAGTCTTCACTTTCTAGGTTTTTTCAGTATTTGGGGATTTGGAAGAACAAGCAAGCAAGCCAATCACACAGCTAAAAAAGCACCAGAGAGTACAACTGAATTCTCCTTGGATCTTACTGGGGATTTGATTGGGCACTCTTCAGCTGTGCAGGTGTGTTGGAACTGGCAGTAGCAAATTTTTGATATCATTGCGCTTGTAATTATGGGAGACACTTCTCTTTAAAAACAGCTGTCATTTAGAACTGTAGGAATGGAAAAAGTATGAGGAACAAAGCTTTGCCATGCTTTACCATGCATTCAGGAATATGACTACAGTATTCTGTGCTAATTAAAGACTCAGCCTAGGAGTAGTTCTGGTAGGACATGAAAAGTCAGGAAAGAAAAGTACTTTCTTGGCCTAAGTGCTTTGTACTTGAACCTTCTGATTGTCCTAGGGCCATTTCATATGTAACATTCTTAGATTGGTACAGGAAAAAATGTGTGTCAAAGATATGTAGTTAGGTGTGCAACCATACTTGTATCTGTTTTGAGAGACTTATCAAAACAACAGCAGCCTTGCAACAAAATAGGCACTTGTTTGATTCTCACACAATAGAACTTAATTTTTCAGTTTTCCCTGCAGTAACATGGGACAAATTTTCACTTTAATCACAGTGAGCTTCTCCTCCATGAACAGCTCTCTCTGTTGGTGGCATAAACAAGGATGGAAGTGGCGTAGTGCTTTTTAAATTAGTTTTTCTCCATCTATAGCCCATACTGCCACTTCACATATTGTTTTGGACCCCAACCCTCCTGAAGAGATTTTTAGAGACAATGGGAAAGTGAAGGGAGATAAGGAATAGGCAAAATCCCCTTTCTTTTACCTCGAGGCAATCCAGTTTACTGACTTTCACTCCTCACAGCTCTGGATCTGACCTAGTATCATCTGCCAGTTAGCTGACGTTTGGAGTTCCATAGAACATTGCTACACATTCGCTTACACAGAATTCTCACCTATCATATCGCTAGGCTTACAGCACAATTACCAGTTACTGTTCTTTACTAGCTTACTTTATCAGTAAATGTTGGGTTTACCATACAGAAACAAAAAGTCCATACAAACTGAACTAATAAAAAATACATGAATGTAATAATAAAATGTATTTTTATTAAGAAGTGTGGTGTTTATAGTTCTGGTAACATTCCTGATTAAAATATAATATTGTTCATGATATATAACAAAATTAGTAAGGACATATTTGTCATTCACATATGATGGATTGAATATATTAGATTTGAAGACCCATGCAGTAAGCTTTACATGCCCACTTTGGATTCATGTCATAAAAATCACTCCTTGTACGTGCAGGCTGTTTTGGTTTAGAATAGTTTCCTGTTCCTTTGAACACACCAGGATCGCTTGTTCCTTGGATCCTGGACTGTGGTCATCTTTTGAATCTGTCCTTATTTTTTTAAAGATCTATTTGTGGCGTGTAGAGTTGGCCTAGCACTTCTTGTTACTCTAATTTAAGCCTTGCCTTTTGATCAGTTTACTCTGATGTCCATGAAAATTATTCTTGGAGAACTTGGTTTAATATCATCTTGAGCATACCATTTTGGAAGCATGTGTTGCCTTAAATAATATGTTTTGAATGTGTTGCAAAGTCTGATAGCTGAGTACATTATTTGGTATGGTTTTCATTGCAGACATTCTTGTACTTCAGTGAACATGGCTTGGTAACGTGCTCTGCTGATCACCTCATTATTTTATGGAAAGATGGAGAACGGGAGTCAAGATTACGCAGCTTAATGTTATTTCATAAACTAGAACAAAGTGAAGATTTGCAGCTCAGGACCTAAGATGACATAATCAGAAATAAGTTTATGGAATATGACTGACTGAAATGTTATTCAAAGTCTCAAGTATTTAAAATAACTGTGTATAATTTTGTTCCTAATTCTTTAATTAAATAAGGTATCTTACTCTCATTGAGTTTATTTCTCTATAGTGACAACATAGTTTTGTAGATTTGAGACTACTATATCAGCATAAACTGCATTATCAGAAGCAGTGTATTTTCTTTAAACTCCACGAAATAATGGCCCTTCAGCAAATTAGTTTTACCCAGCGAAATAGCTTTTTATGAGATAATGGGAGCAATTAGATGCTTATTCCATTTTACAGACCTGTGTTGTTTCTTTCATTGTACTTCTTTAACACACAGCATATTGAGCACAATTGTTGCCAACTTCTGCCAAAACCTAGAACTCAGCTATCAAATGTTGGGGTTTCAGCCAGCTAAATCTGCAGTGAATATTCAGGGTTATTCACAGCCATTCTATATTTTGCCTGGATATGGAAGGGAGAATAGGCTAGGAAGCCCCTGGAAAAGCATGGGGTCTGTGAAGTCTGTATACAATACACAGACATCCCATAGAAGTCCTATAGAAACGCTCCTGTATACAAATGTATATTGTACTATAGAAACTGCTCCTATATACATATAGCCACTTTATCCAGCATTTCATGGGACTGAAGAAGGCAGAACAGTACAGTGGCCACTGAAAATGTTAAGGCAGCAGACATATTTTTATGAAACAGTTTATTCTCCATTCATTCTTGAAAGATTACTTACTGAAGAGCTGTAGGCAAGCAAAACCAAATGTGCAACACCTCTCTAGGGAGGAATGGCTGCACTTCTTTGCTAGTGCAGTCCTAGAAATAAGGAATACTTTTGTTGTTGAACTTGTGCTATCTGTATCACTTCAGTTCCATTGTTGCTTTACGATTGATGGACAAACTATATTGAACAAATAAATGAGGAGAAAATACTGTGCATAAGGGCTGAATCTGCAAGTGGGAGCAGTCTTTGAGCGGCGTTCTGTCCAGAACTATCTCAGCGGTGGAAAACAGGCAATCTTCGCTGATTTCCCATATCTCACTAAAGCCCCTATTCTGGACAGTCCCCAAGACCTCCAGAAAAGATTGGGTGGCATAGAGAAATGTAGGGTAAGGAAGAACGGATTAAAATAGTCTTCTCTTTTTTACCAGTGGGATCCCATGTTGGAACAGAGGGTTCTTGTGGATGAAAAGAGCCTGTCCTTCCAGAGGAGACCTATGCTGGATCCAACCAATTTAAATAAATCCAGAATAAAAGCTTTGTAAATAAAAATTAATTAAAATTTAATCAGATATAGGCCTTGATAGGACACATAATGGATAGCATGGACACTGCATTGAGCACACAATTTTTTAACTATACAATGTAGCAATATAATACAAAGCAATGGAAGTTTGCCTCTGTTAGAATTCTAACAAAAATATAGCTTATATACAATTCTCTGCATGGAAATTATGTGAGTGTTTTACATTATTTTACATAACTTGATACAAAACATTGAAAAAATGTTGGCACATTACGTAAGCTACAATCATTGTCATTTTTTCATCAGTAGTAACACTCAGTATTTATCTGGTTAACCTTCCAGCACAAAACATAGAGCCAAAGTAGTTTCCTTTCCAATGGGCAGTGTAATACTTTACATCAAATTAAATATATTTTAGTCTTTGAAAAGCCTGTTCTAGTGCACAGTGTTATGTATTAATTCTGTAACTAATAGCCAATAATTTTATGATTGTCTAAGCCAGTGAGTTTATCTAAGGAATTATCTGGTTCAAGACCAGAAATCATGGTACTCAGAGTGGTAAGGAATAGCACAATTTACTAGGAATGTTTCCTATATGGGCTCTATTGGAAAGAATGGTGGGTGTGTGGAACACATTGGCTGTTTAATGTGATGGGAGTAGACAATCCTCCAATGTGATTAAAATTGGGTATAAAAATATTTGTGCTTTGGCAGTTGAAACATAAATCATCCTTTAATGGAAAAGTAAATTCAGTTTGTTTTCCACTGTTAAAATGACTCTTCCTGGGTCAATATTATATTATTTAAAATTATTTTCTGTTTAACTAGACTTACTTGGTTTTTGAAGGTGCGTACCTCAGGAAGGAAGTATCACAACCTGAATGTTGTTTCTCTGTTTAATGTTTGAGGACTCTATTCAGCCAAATTGTGTGTTCTTCATATTAAGGTCCATGTCTTGAGAGTAAGTGATATGGCTGCAATCCAGGACACCAAGGCACAGGGGGTTTCCTATGCTCCATGAGGAAAATATGCATGAACAGCCAGTTCCCTTCTAGACAGAGAACAGGAGGCCTCTGCATGGGTGTGGATTCTAGAGACCTTTCTGAATAGGGCTCATGCATAGGTGTTTCTAGAGAAGCAGGGTTTCTTTTCCTTATGGCTCAAGCATATTAAGCATCATTTTCAATATGCTCTGAAGATCTGTTGTACTAACAATCCCCATTCTAAGCATGTAGATGTAAAATTGGAACTCTACAACATCACAAAGCATTATGCTGTTGCAGATGCAGACAGATGTTTTAGGATGGGGGGGTGCCAGTTTTTCTGTTTACTTGCTTTTCACAATATGGCTCACTGTCAACTATCTGAAGACAGAGAAGAGTATGGATTTGCTTGGTGTTTTGATCTTTACTATCTTCTATAATTATACAAAATGTTACTTTAACGTACTAAACAAATCCAAGGACTCCTTGTGTGTGTAGAAGCCACTGTGTGCCTAGAGGCCTCACTTCACCGTAGGCTTTAATAGCAGAACCAGAACTGTGAGTGCATCCCAGTTTTGCACACAAACTGCTCCCTGACTCTGATGTCCACAGGGAGCCCTGCTTAAGGAGAAAAATGGAATGCACAGACAGGTTTGGAACACAGAAACCATATGCCTATCAAAGATAACAATGCTCACAGTATTGTCTGACAGAATTAAAATTACAGTTTAAGTAAGTGTTTATTATTAAACAGTTAATTCTCACAACAAAGGATAGTTGAATTTGCTGCTTTCACCCTTCAAAATTACTTTCTAATTTTGTTTTAGAGTTCTTGCATCATGGAAACAGCATTTGCAGTAAACAAGGCTCCTTTAAAATGACAAGTTTTATTAAATTTTGTTGGTAGTTATTCCAAATAAATTAGTTTTCCTAGCACAATGCCCTCTTGTATGGAATTTATATAGTTAATTTTGGGCTGCAAACAAAATTATACTAATTTCATAATTTGACAAATTATAACAATTTTATAAAACTACCTTTAAAAGGATTGGTTGTGCCACAAAAAAGGAGGATACCTTTATAAAGTGTTTATTGGTCTCTGGATTATCACCTTTATAAAAACAAAGCTTTGTAGAATTTAGAACTATTTAAAATTGAGAAACAATATTTCCTCGCTGTCTAGTTGGTTACTTCATTGTGAAGGAAATGCTGCCCTTCTTGGGTCCATACCAGTAATGGTTCACAGTGTGAGTGGTAGGCTTTGATGTTCCATTTTCTCCCTTCAGCTTCCATTATTGTTCTCTGAAGGAAGTCGAAGGCTCCTACACTTTGACTCATCCAGTGTTTTCCAGTGCTTGTAGTTACTTGCCAAGTGATGCATCAAGACTGGTAGGTGTGCAAATGCTGAAATAAATAAAGATACTAAAATTGTAAAAAATTAAGTGCCAACGCTGGGAAATGTTTTTAATGGTGAGTACTTAGCCTTTGTGTTATTAGGAAAGTAAACTTCCTGTTAGTCTTATACATAGTATAATGTATATAAAGTAAAATAACCAGCAGTAAAGCTAGGTAGCTTTTAAAGTACTTTTCAAATATAGGTAGAATACAAGTGGCCCTAAATACTGCAGTGGGAGGGTTCAAGATTTAGTGTTCCAATATGCATGCCCTTTTCCAGTTTACTCCATTTAGAGAAAGATCAATCTCTCTCTCCAGCCCACAACAGTTTTGCATTTATTAGCATATTCTGTCCTGCTTCCACGGGGTTAATCTCAGATTTTGAAAAACTCACAATATTTTAGAAAGTATTCTTTCACATAATATGTATTTCTAAACATACTGCGGGAAAGGATGCATTTCTTACAGTGCAGTCCAATGGCCAGTGGATACCGTCTAGTCAGTCACAGTAACAGGTAGAGTCCTTGCTGCAACCTTAGAAACACCTTGTAAAATCACGGAGGACTCTGTCTTCAGAGCCTCCCCTGCTTTATCTGAAAATACGCATTTAAAAAAACTTTTGAAACGTTATCTGAGCAGAGGGGTCCATTGGAAAATTTAGAGCACCTCAAAATCTGATGGGCAATTAGGTGCCGAGCTGCAGTTTTTTATTTTATTTATGAAATTTGTATGCCGTTCAGTTACTAACATCTCTGGATGGCTAACAGCATAAATAAATTGACAAGCCACTCTGGCTGCAAATACAATAATAAGATTCAATATTAAAACATATTAAAATATTGATTAAATAAAAAGGTCTTAACCTGGCACCAAAAAACATATAACATTGGCGCCAGGCGGACCTCTCTGGGGAGCGCATTCCATAGTCGGGGGCGCCACTGCAGAGAAGACCCTCCTCCGGGTACTCTGTCTCCTAACATCTTTTACAGAGGGTTCCCGGAGGAGGGCTTCTGTTGCCAATCTTAGGGGGCGGGAGGGCAAATAGGGAAAAAGGCGTTCCTTTGTACCCTGGTGCCAAGCCATTTAGGGCTTTATAGGTAATAACCAGCACCTTGAACTGAGCCCGGACTTCAATGGGAAGCCAATGGAGCTGATAGAGGACTGGGGTTATATGAGAATAACACCCAGTCCCCGACAGCATCCTGGCAGCTCTATTTTGAACCATCTGAAGTATCCAGACTGTCTTCAAGGGCAGCCCCCCTTTACTGTGTAAGGTACAGATCAAGTTAGTTCACTTCAGAATCCACACAGACTGAGTTCTTCAACTAATTCCATTTCAGCCCCATTCTGTTTTCTTCCCTCTGCAACAGCCAATTAGCATGCTTAATTGGCTCAGAAAGCTAAGTTCACCCTATTCTGCAAATGGGTGCCTCCACACATTTTCATTACATTCCCATGATTTTA